CGCCCCCCCCCTTTTTTTTTAAGATGCATTATTCAAATCATTAAATCATTGTTTCATTGTGAGAAGTACTTTCAGGCAAAATAAATATATCCCAGATTATCAGGAACTGACTTGGATGTGCATCACATATTACCGCAACATAGATTAAAAAAAAAATTACTCACACATTTTTTTGTTTCTCTTTTTTATTAGATTTTTGAATACAGTATCACAAGATAATACCACTCAGTGTATACACATTACAATACAATCTAAACACCAAAGGAAACTGTCAGGGTCCATGGGATAGTCTGCTTCCCCTCTGATGAAATACAGCAATACAAAGCACACAACTAATATTTCACATCAGTCCATGCAATCTCCAGAAGGAGATTTCTATGACGAAGGAGCCCCAAACAAGCACTGTACTTTAATGAAAATTTCTAACTGTAGAGACAGAGTGAACTACTTATGCTCCCAGTCAAGACAGATGGCTGTATTTTTAACATCAGAATTACTCCACAATTGAGAAATTCTGACAAATGAAGTATTTTCTTCTGAACAAGATTATGAAACACACTGAAGATGAGAGGCACCAAAAAAGGCCTCTGGTTAACTGACCTTTACACAGTACTAACAGCCTCAACCTGTCTGGAAGGCTCTGAGAGACCAGAAACTAGCACTCACAGACGAGAGCCACCTCTCTTTTATTTTTTTTCCCCCTCCAAAATAAGAAATGTCCTCTAGGTAGCTCTGTCTTTTTTTTTTCCCCCTAAGAAATTTGGTTATTTGCATTGTATGAAAAAAATATGCCAAATATTCAGCAACATACCCTCTGATAAACAGCCTTGCAGAGTTCATTGTCAGGCTGCGGGATTGCGCTATGGGTGCTAATTCAACTGCATCGACGTGGTTTTTAAATCCCCATAGGACACGTTGGTGTTCTGTTTGCCTGCAGTATCTGGAGAAATTAAAGACGGACGGACACAAGAAAATTAGAGATTACTTGTGATTCTGCACATTTAAAGGAGGACTATCTTGAGAGGGATAAAGTTGCATTTTTAGTTTTGGCCAAATATAGCAATAATACTGCCTTCTCTCTCCTCCCTGTCCTTGGCATCCTCTGCCAGAGCAGAAACATTACATCAGGACCGCACAGCATCCTAGATGGCTGTTACTCATGGGACTCACTCTTACACAGGATTCACTTCAGGCTGTTAAGTTCAGCAAGTCAGAAGGAAAACATATTTATCCAAAGCAATCAGTCTGAATCACTAGCTATAATTTATGCCAGACCACTTCATTTATATCCCACACTTCCTGTTCTAGACAAAGCCCCACGCACAGCGTGCCGCAGGACACGTTCTCTGTGCTGTAACAGACATGTCAGCTATCTTAAACATCAACCTAGAGAGGAGCAGGCAGTATCTGAAATGACGTTTAAAGGTAACTTTTAAAGGATAGTCCTCCTTTAACATTGCAGGCAGATGCTGTTACGGGACTTGAATGGGAAGCTGGTATCAGGACCCCAAGTACAAAGGGGCAACTCCAGCAGAACCACAGCAGCACAGAAACTGGTAGCAGATTCTGACCTTGGGATACCTGGGAGGTGTCTTATGGTAAGGAATCCGCCTCCACTCTTGTCATGCCACCATCCTAGGTGAACAGTACCCTGAACTGAGCCATCACCTCCTGCAATTTGCACTTTGCGGTTGGTTTAAAGGACACTCGCTATTTGCAAATTAGTACTGCTTTTGATGCATTTCCCAACTAAAAGTATCTTAAAGTGATAACCACTGGAGGTGTCCAGAACACACGAGAGATTTGGCTACTCGAGACCGATAACAGCTCGTGGTCCTTTGGCTGCAATACTGTCTCCAAGCTCAGACATGATGCGAGTGGGTTCCAGAGTCACACCCTTATCTTGCAGCATGAAGAATTATATTATGCTGATTACGCCATTTTTGCCCCTCTTATAATTACAACCTTTTAAGGTGTAGTAGCAAGGCAGGTTTGAACCATTCGGGCACCACCTTTTCAGGATTTCTGGAACACGAGTAGCATTTTCCTGGCAACAGCACTTGGAACGTGGCCGTCTTCGTCCACATACAGATGTCGAGCTACTGGAGACCATCAGCTCTTCTCTGCTGCAAGCGCCTCTACCATTCATGTCAAAGACAATAACCTTCTTCCAAGGTAAGCACACTTGAAGTTACTTCAGATTGTTTTCCAGGGAAAGATGATTTCTTGATGCTTTACAACGCAGTGTTCCCAAGCAGACAAATCGTATCCGATAAGTTTTCTCGGTTTACTTTTTTCACCTGGCACCCAGCAGTCATGCGTTTTAGTCAGACAGTTGGTTCCAGGTATGCTTTTCATTAACATCCACCAAATGACTTTTAAACAAGACTGAACAAGTTACTCCTCATTAAAAAAAAAAAAAAAGAAAAGAAAAGAAAAGAAAAAGAAAGCTGCCACTACCAACAACAGGCAGGTAGGAGAAAGCTGTCTGGATCCAGGGCTTCACTCCAGCACAAAACATTGCACTCAGGAACCAAAAGACTCAAGCAAGTAGAATCAGTGCTTAAACAATGAGCAAACGAGGGAAGCAGACAACAGCGAGTTCCCATCATACAATCCACATGCTCCTATGTGCATCCCGCTCCCTACAGTAATATTTCTGTCTCAAACACAGGTCACAGCAACCCAGCATCTACTTTCCAGGCACAGTTAAACGGGAACTGGTGTCTTGTACACAGGAACAACCTGGGCTACCAACAGAGCATGGGTGCTTTTTCCAAGTGATTACTGTGTGAGCATCTTTACTGTTCAGTACAGACAAGTCCTCTGTTTTATCTATGGCTGGCATAGTGGGAAAACAAGTTGTATGACTGCAGAGCCTCTGGAGCCAACTTAGCCAATGGCTGACTGGAAGAGTTACAACTGGATTGCACCTTTGTTTCTTACAAAGTAAAGTAAAAATAATTTTCTTCACCTACCTCTCAACAGTGATCAAACTGTAAAATATAAATATACAGGATATATTCCCACTTCTCAGAACGGGACTGCCTTGCAAGTTTTAGGGAAATGGACTGACATGTATATACTTCCCTGCCACAATTCTAGATTATTTCTGTTCTTATTTGCCCAATATATTTCCACCAAGATTTCAAAAATGTGTTGTTCCACTGTTGTCCTACCTAGCCCATTTTTCATGGATTCCATGGGCATTCTGAAACACAACTGATAGTTTCCCTATGAATGTATGTACATTGGAGTATATTTTCCAAGTAAGATTATTGACAAGCACAGTCACTAATCAGCAAGCTATAGGCATGCTAGATGCCTAGGGCATGGCATGCATTTCAGGAAGCACCTGACCTCTTTGGAGGAATTCAGCTTCTCTCCCCTCACTATCTCCTCCATCCCAGTCCCAAGACTCTCATTCAAGACAACTTTCTTTTCATTCACATCGCTTTTAGGAGTGAACTGAATAAAACAGGTAGTTGCTACTAACACAAGACCAACTTTTGCAATTCAATCCTACCGCTTCAAAATAACGCAGTTAGTCACAGGCTCTGCTCTGCCTCCAGTGAAGACTCAAGACTCAGGTTTGCCCCTCTGAAATCCTGCTTTGCTTTCCCTCCCTTTTAAAGCGATGTGCATTCCCCACCATTCCTGTGTGCCCAGGACAGCCATCACTAAGACACGCTGCTTCGGTGATTGTAATATAAAGGATTCATAAGTATGCCACCACTATCTTGACCCACCATCCCCAGCTGCTGTATGACTTTCCAAAATGCTAGAAGTTATACGACACTAGGACTTATTTGCCACATGATACTTCACTTAAATTATTGCATAAAAATCACAATCCATTCATTTAAAAGTAATGATAACTGTTTTTTGAGGAGCATTAAAATTGGCTTTTATAAATAGAAAGCTAAAGCAAACCCCCATACAACAGTATGTTACAAATTCTTGTCATGAGAAACACAGGTTGAGGCAACCTTTACTACAGAGTTGCACGTTATTATTCCTCTTTGTAATCATGCTATCAACCACTACATTTCTCTAAGCTCTTACACAGGGCATAGAATTCTGTAAGGCACCTTGACATACTGCTCTGTTACAAGGACACAGAGGTTTCTTTCAACTTACATCTTTCTGGTTGGAGTGGAAAAACCTGAGTGCAAAATTGCAGGATTGGGATGCAGCAGCGTAATGGCCCAGTGACTCCGCATAGCGCGTCAGAAGATAGCTGCAACACAACACAGCGCAAGTCAAATATCAGCACGTGACCCTGGGGAAACCTGAATTTCAAACATAGCTCTGAACAGAGAACTGGAGCGCAGTCCAGCTTTAATGAAAAGTCTGGAGATTTAACAGAGGGCATTCACAACATTCATATTAAAATTTAGCCTTTTAAAAGTAACAGAAGGAATTCTCGATTTTTTAAAAACAGTATGTGGGGGCTTGGAGTTCCTCCATCCACCTTGTTAAGTGTGCAAGAGCTTTACTTAATTAGATACCCACAAGCACACTAATCAAGGCAAGGCCATTTGGTGTGTTTGTTTTAATTTGTGGTCCCAAGCTTTGCCACACAATAACACAAGCTGGAACACCAAGCTCTCACTGGCATCAAGACATACATTCCACAAATTTCTTTCAGATTCCCCCTAGTTAATACTCTACAGATCAAAATCACACAGGAAAGATACTCCACAAGAAGGGGAGCATACTACAGTAGATGTGTGTCTCAAAATTCCGAAACACATTTACACAACACCGAATAAAAATCTGATCATCTGCTAACTTTCGTTAGCAAAGGAAACTGAAGATCTCAGGACTGGTTACTGGAGGGTCACCATCATCAATTATTCTCAGTATATACTACCCACCCGATGGTGTCATGCTGTATGTGTTTTGCATCAAGGCTGGAATAGAGCTCTGCAACGGGTTCGAATGCACCAAGCCTGCAGTAGATTCGAATGAGCAGCAATTTAAACTGAGCATTAGAAGGACTATGAGATAACCCTTCTTCTAAGACAGTTAGGCACTGCCACACAGCCGTCTCTTCACCTGGTGACAAAGACAAAAAACACAGACAGGCATGATCAGACAGAGGCACTGAAAACTGACAGCACAATTCACTTTGGCATTGAAGCTTCTTTACATTACACACCTCTCAGAATGGTCCCATGCATTTAAACATGTAGATGGCATTCATCAGCCACGCTGCTGCCCTTAAAACATAACACCTACTCCAGCACTACAGCTGCTCTCCCAGGGAAAGGTGGAGGAATAATTCTTCACAGGGAATATATAGCTCACATCTGTAACAGAGCACAGCCCTCACACATGAGCCCACTGCAGAAGCAGCGACCTTCCCTGATGAGTCCTAGACTATTCAGGATTTCTAGCTTATACCTACAGAGCACTCCCAAGTATTATGCAAGAGAGCAGCCCAGAGCCAGGAATTCAAGAGCCCACGCTCCACTGGTGACCTGCCAGGAACCTGACAACGGATTTACTCAGGTTAAAGACTAAATCTTCCTCGGGAAAGACAAAGATGTAACTGACAACTACATTGAAGGACAGGAATATAACCAGCGCCCACGAGCAGCCACCATTGGAGACTGACTCTGCGGGATTAGGAGACTAATGGGCAGAGCAGATGCGGAGTACACGAATGCTCAAGACAGGGCAACAGGTCTCAGCAGAAGGTCTAGAAGAAAGGGATCCAAAAGACAGAGTATGTCAAGGAGGGAAAGAAATGCTCTCCAAACACTTCTGATATCAGACAGCAGTTGTCAGCAGAACTCGTGCAAAGGGAGAGAAAAACATTACCTACATGGGCAACTTGGAACAAGCTCATGAAAACAGCCAGCATTGACCTGCGATTGTCATCAGCAAAGCTCTGCCAGGACTTCCAAGAATTAATCAGAAAAATTAAATCCCTTTAGAGGTCAGTGAGATCCAGATCAAACATCAACTGAACAGTGGGATTCCTGAACCACCTCATATTGAGGGGAAAAAACCCAGAAAGCTATGGGCCTAACAAGCTGTGCCAGGTACACACTGGCCACAGGGACAGAGTCTCCCTATCACAACCATCCAGGGTGGCATTAAGCAAGACACAATTTTAGGAACGTACCTTCTAGCCACAAATCGAGCAGCAGGTGAACCGCAAGCAGGCAGTAATAATCTGAAAACTGCAATTCAGTTTTCAAACAAGATTTCCCTAAATAGAAAAAAAAAGTTACCCTTGAATTACTAACAGTGCTGTCAGCTGCTTCTCACATTATCAGCATTATCAAATGACACAGCGACCTGGCAGATTAATTTATAAAATTACACAGCTTAATTTATAAAATCCAGAGTTGTCTTAAAATCTGAAACAACTGTATACATGCTGCATTTGTTCATCACGCTAGTGGACTTTGGGCCATTTCATACATTGACATATGCTGAAGAAGAAAAGACTCTCCTACAACTGCGAGATTTACAAATTAATATTATCGCCCATGTATCTGTGCTACGCACACCGGGGATAAACCCTGGCTTTGCTTAAAGGCACAGGCAATTTTGCAAACATACAAATGTACCATCTGAACTACCCAGGAATGTGTCATTTATCTTTAAGGTACACAATTGAAAAGAAACAAAATTCAGTGGAAACAGATCATTTGGGTATGCCCAAGGATGTAATCATAAAGGAGAAAGCAAAAGTATTATCTAGCAGCACGATGGGTGCTGTGCACCAATAGCACTATTTGCCATCAGAGTTTGTGTTGTTCTGCCCCCCTGAAAAAGCTCTGAACTTTTCTTCATAAAAAGCTGCAAGTGAACTACAACATTTGTTTCAAGATTTTTCTCACCAAACTCCAATCCATGGTGGTATCTTAACATCAACTCCCGGACCACAGTCAGCTTTTGCTTCTTATCCATGGTGTGATAGATACCGAGCAATCTTGAGAGCTGCACCACACACAGATGTTGTTGCAGAGCTTTGATATCAGCTGGCAGCGCGATTTCACTCTCTGCTGGTGCCGACAGAGGAATTACTTCCAGCAATTGACTGATGAACTGAAAGAGAAACACTGTTAAATTCTGCAGGGCATCTGGGACTGCACAAATGGAAGACATCATTTCCTCCCTCAAATCAAGAAAAAAGAATTGCAGAGCTTTGATATCAGCTGGCAGCGCGATTTCACTCTCTGCTGGTGCCGACAGAGGAATTACTTCCAGCAATTGACTGATGAACTGAAAGAGAAACACTGTTAAATTCTGCAGGGCATCTGGGACTGCACAAATGGAAGACATTTCCTCCCTCAAATCAAGAAAAAAAGAAAAGCAAGGTGGAAATGTCAGTGTCAACCCTGACGTCACCCTGCAATCACTGGTTGAAGAGCTGGCTTAAAAAATTATTTGTTTCTTTGGAAAGGTGGTGAGCACACAGTTCTGGTTGCACTCAACAGCTTTTAGTAAGTTCCATCATCAAACCGATGGAGGAAAAAAGTCACAGGCAAATTTCCAATTCATTGACACACAGGAGAGTTCAAGCACCTGTTAACACTCACAGTAATGACACATGCAATGAAAATAATTAGTTACTGAAAGGCTTCACAGCACACTTCCAGGAAATAGTGGTTTTGTACTAGCTATTCCATTTTCTCTCAGCTCTCAAGTAATGCGCTGTACTCAGTGAGGTCATCACCTTTGATTAATGACTTTTGTTTTGAATTAAGTTGTGAGAAAAGCAGCCTCTCATTGTTTACAATTTTAATGGGAGACAGCAACAGAGTCCTGCAACACAGTCAGGGCTGGACAGCAGTTTCTTGTTGCCTTAAAATCCAACAGTGTTTACAAACTTAAAACCAAGTTAAAGCCGATGAATTCAGGTTTACTACATTTGGTCTTGAAACACAAGAACTGCATCAAAGGCATGCCCAACGAAAAAAATCATGACAGCTAGATAGGAGGAACACACAGCACCATGCACACAAATTCCAGTTTTCCCATAAACTTTGATGAAGACTCCATTCACAAATCTCTTAAGTTTGAAATTTTGCTGAGCTGAGCAAGGTGAACCAAACCACTAGGCTGCATACTCCAATTTATGTCTCTAGGGAAGTCAAGATTGATGTCTCAACAATTATTTCTGGAGTATCTCATGTGTCCAGTGGTCCAGCGACATCACCACATTCTCAGCTACTGAACCATAACACTATGCTGAACTCTTACAAAAAAGAAGAAAAGAGACCCCCCCCCCAGCTGTGTATAGCTTCAGCGTGACCCTGCTACTTTACCTAGGATACAAGAACCTTCAGCATCTTTTGCTGTTAAACAAGAATAAATCTAAGACAACCTGTAAATATTTTAAGTAACTCAAACTTGCAGATTTCAAGAACTCATCAGCACTTCAGCACCACTAAACCTCCTCAGCTACACGTCTCCTTGACCAAGTTAAACTGCTGCAGATGCACGCTTCAGAGACATGACAGCCAGAAGAGAGCTATACGCTGGGAAGACCTTTAATATGTCAGCATGACACAATATGATATATTCACCAAATCAGCAGCAGTTTTAAGGCCAATCAGAAAATTTTAGAGAATTTATTCACAGTCATGGTTTTACAAGCACTGCGACAAAACTGTAGCCTAAACTATTACTATTAAAGATCATTCCCACTCGCTCTGGGTTTAGAATTTATTTCCTGAAAAGTTTGGATTAAACCTGTTCAGTACTTCAGGGTTACCTTGCAATAGTATCACCATTTCCAGAACTACGAGTTAAATATCCTTCTGACCACATCTCTTGTCAGTGGGGTAACAACACCCCTTTTAACATAAAACATCAGCAACAACCCATACATGCCAGGCCACCATTCTCATCAGTAGTGAGGCTGTGGGAAGAGCTTGCATTAGCAGTCAAAAAATATTTTAATAAACTAAGAAAACAACAACACTATCTACACTTTGTTTACAAACATCTTATCAACAGCCTCTGGCTGATCCAGGATTCTGTGTCTAGCCCTCCCCAGCTCTGATAATTTTACACAATGGCTTAGAAAAACAATGACAGGAAAAACAGTGACAGAATTCCCAGCTGCTGAAGTCATTCAACGAGCTGCTCATGACTCTGCACAAATAGTCTTTGCAGTTAAAGAGAGCTCGTTTCAGAAAGAGATTCTGGAAAATGTTGCCGTAGGTCTCTGGGTCACCCCTTGATCAGTATCAAGGTGTCTGTTCTTTAGCACCCCAGGAGAGCCAAGCAAAACACCTGTGTGACACTCTGCCTGCATCGGAGGAGGGAGCAGATTTTTCTCAATAAGCATGTAACTTTAATGGGAAAAACAAGTGATGGGTAGGAAGGGAAAAAGGAGGATGTCAAACAAAAGTTACAGTACACAGCACTGAGAACTGCAAATGAATGAGCAGGGTGGTCTTTCTGTAGTGTTACATTACTCCAGTTTGTAAGCTGTGGTCCATAAACAAAAGTGACAAGAGATCACTCACTTAAAAGTGAGCTAATCAGGTAGCTTATCACTTGAACTACAATTCCTAGGGAGCTCTTCATTACAAGATACGAGCTCGTACCCCTGTAACTTTCATAAGGATTATGAGTTTTTCATTTTTGGTATGAAAATTCAACCAAGACCATCTCAAAGCACCCTGACACCTTGAAATTGTAATAAAAAAGCCAAATGAATACTACATCTGGGTCTGAGACTTTGCAGGATCAAACTTAGTTTTCAGTCTTCAGTAAAAATCCTCCGAAAGAAGTTGCTTTTCTGCAGTGCAAAGAGTTTTCTGAATTTCAAACAGAAGGTAAAAATTTGATGTTTCCAATCTTTTAATATGATCCACATGTATTTTAAGATAAAGACCAGAGTGCAAACAAGCACTGCAGTTCCTCCCACCACTTCTTTATCTTTCCTTACCTTTGTGTATTGGCTGGATGGGAGGAGATCCACAAATACTTTGAGATCAGTAAAACAGCAGGGTTTGTCCCCAAATTTTTTGAAGTATTGGAACATTAGTTCTTCTGGATCACCTAGGAAAAAGCCCAGTTCATCTCCATTAAAAGCTGAATCTGTAAAATCACTATGAGAAATCTTTGTTAATGCTTTTTTTCTTTCTCCCCCTTAGAGATTACATAGTGATTTAGAAAATGGATAGCTGCACTGCTGCAGATTTTAACAGAGGCTCAATGTCTTTGGCAACCAAGGACATATTAAAAAAAAAAACAAACCCCAAGAGCTTCATTCAAGCTACTTTGGCAGATAAGAGCTCAGCATAACAGGCATGCACACACAGCCTCCACTTATCTAACAGTAACTTATTTTTGGATGGAAATACAAAAGGAACCAGTAAGTAGCACAGATGTTGCTCTAATCACATTCTCTCCTTCACCAATTCCCTAAATGTGATTTTTAAATGCAAGTTTTTAAAAAGCAAAACCTGGTACTACTGCCAAAAATCTTACATGAAAAACCACCCAGAGATTACAGCGTAACAGCAGGACTTTTTACAAAAGCAGTGTATCAGGAATGCAATTTTCATTACAATGTCAGTGACTGTATGCTCCTAGCTCCCATAGGTCCTTTTGAAAGTTTCCCTGCTTGCTTTTACAAGCCCTGTGGATTAGCCTGGAACTACCTGCCTTTCTTCAAGGTTCATCTTCTAATGCTTTCAAAATTCTTTACATACAGACAACAGCACGTACATTTTCATAACAGACTTTGTATTTCAGTCAGTGATTTAGCAAAGCGCTTGTTCCAAGTCTGTGTTCTCTCTCCAAAAGATTAACTCACCATCCAGTTAGTGGCACTTACCTAGTTTATATTCATCATTACAACCTCTGTATCGCAAACGTCTGATCAGCTCCAGTTTAGCTAAATATGGTCCCCGAAGCGGCCGAGAGCTCTTAGATTCTTCTGTTATCCTCTCTTCTATAAATTTCACAGCTTGCTCTATAGAATAGTGTACTTCTCCTTCCAAAGAGCTGTGCAATTAAAGAGACAAAACATTCCGTGATTTTTCCCATTGCTAGGGCATTGATAACACGTGCTTACCATACTCTTAAGGAAATCTGGCATGATGGATTCTCTAACTTGATCACCATGAAAAAGATGAACTGGAAGAGTTCTATAGTGTACAAACCACTATTTAAACAGCTGTTTCCAATAAACTATTGCCAGCCTCCAAAACAAAGTAGGGAGAACACATCATCTGGGGTCCCATGTCATGAAGTCACCCAAAGACAGAGACAGTGCTGTACAGAATATATGAATGCAAACAATGCACTGTAGCACAAAGGAAAACCAAATCCTCAGCAAAACTGTTAACTTACTGCTCTTCTTCTGGTGGAGGTGTCCAGGATTCATCAATGAGTTGAAACATTGAATCAAAGTAAGTTATATAAAACTGCCAATCATCTGAGCTGAAACAAAAATCAGGCACAGAACCAAGTTTAGGGAATTGCCACAACAGTAACTTACTTCTAAAACTGCATTCCTGGCAAAAGCTGAATTTAAGGAATAGCACATATTCGTATTATGGAAAAAACAACTGCAATAAGAATTATTTCTCCTTGAAAAGGTCTCATATCTTAAAAATGTCATCATCCTGCATTTCTTGAAATGTATTAAAGGAAACAATTTCAGTAAAGAATTGAGGCAAGCTACAAACTCTCAACCTCAAATACTGTGTTCAGTTCTGGGCCCCTCACTACAAGGACATTGAGCTGCTGAAGCGTGTCCAGAGAAGAGCAACAAAGCTGGTGAAGGGTCTGGAGAACAAGTCTCATGAGGAACAGCTGAGGGAGTGGGGCTGTTTAGTCTGGAGAAGAGAAGGCTGAGGGGAGACCTGATCGCCCTCTACAACGACCTGAAAAGAGGTTGTAGCCAGGTGGGGGTCGGTCTCTTCTCCCCGGTAACTAGCGATAGGACAAGAGGAAAGGGTCTCAACTAGCGCCAGGGGAGGTTCACGTTGGGTATTAGCAGGAACTTCTTCACTGTAAGAGTCGTTAGGCATTGGAACAGGCTCCCCAGGGAGGTGGTGGAGTCACCATCCCTAGAGGTGTTCAAAAAACGTTTAGATGTGGCACTTCAAGACATGGTTTAGTGGGCATGGTGGCATGGGGTATATGGTTCGACTTGATGATCTTTGAGGTCTCTTCCAACCATAATGATTCTATGATCTACATTCCGATCAGAGCTCATTAATATCCCCACAAAATGCTAAGGCAGAAGTTTTTCCTCTGTATTTAACTTAAATATAAGATTAAGGCATAGCTAAATACAAGAAGCAAATGACAAATCTCTCTTGACAGTTCCACGAGACAGATTTGATCATACTAGCATGCTCCCTCCTGACGCATCTGTTCAAAGCATTACATGCACTTCCCACTATGAAGTCTGGCCAAGTGAGAGAAATGAAGTTCCAGAAAATTAAATGTAAATGCAGTTCTCCTCCCACCATGAAAGTCAGAGCTGGACAATCAGCACAGCCTTTAGAAATAAGGAGGTAAACAAGATTTTACTGCACTAATGTGTTGCTAAAGTCAGCCCTCAAAAAGAAGTAACTACGGTCCTGACACTGACTCTCCCTGTGACCTTCACCGCGTCCCTTTAACATTCTGCTCTGCGGCCCTTTTCCTCAGGCTTTGGAGAGCAAACGTTTGGAAATCCTTTGAGATCCTCTAATGTTCTTCTATTTTAACCACCATTTACAAAAGCCACTAAACAAGGTAATTCACAACCAGCCAGGAATTCTTCATTTTTTTAGTACGACTGCAGAAATATAATCTCACTTTTTCAGCAGCAGCCTCCTCGACAGCGCATTGCACTCTGGCCACCTACACAGCTTCTTGTACATTGCCATACACTTGTTCTCGCGGCTTTGGAGCTCACTTGTCAGCTTCTCTAAATTAAAAACAGAAGGGCAAGTTTATTTAATCAACGCATTTCCTTCTCTACTTTCTGCATAAAGCTTCTTAATATAGCCCAAGATGCAAAACAGTAAGTGTAAGAGAACAGAAGAGAGGTCCTCAAAGGACAGATTTTTCCTATGGAAACCTTCATATCCCAATTCCTTAAAACTGCAAGTGCATTATAATTACCAGAAAGATGCTTCAAAAATGTAGGATATTAGAAACTGGTTTGGGGTGTTTGTTTTTTTTGGTTTTTTTTTGGTTTTTTTTTGGTTTTTTTTAAGATAGACACTACAACAAACTAACATGCTATCAATTTACTACTGCTAAGCATACCACTGCAAAGTTCATCACTGAATAATGCTTAAATATCATCAACAGGTGGGTAAAACTAGCTTGCAAGAGAGCACCTCCAGAGTTTGCATCAATGTCTGAAACTGGTGCTAAGAGACAGGCTTCTTACAGTCTTTTTTTTTTTCTTTTTGGAACCAGCGGACAAGCCTGAAGCAAAGGAGAACTGCTGTGTCTTTCACACTTCTGTGATTACTAATTGATAGAATAAGTTACCTCCTAGTTTTCCTCTCACAACATCTAAGGCTTCCTTATACTTCTCCAAACGTTCCAGAATCATGTAGTACAGTTCGACCTTAAAAGAAAGATTAGACTGCAATGAAATTTGGTAGTAAAACAATACACAGGTGTGCCAAGAAATAAAGTGGTTTGTGTTACTGTCATTAGAAATAGGAGATAGCCAGGCCTGCAAAGCTATCTTTAGCATCCCAGAGGGTAGAACAATCAGGAATTTAGGTCTTTTTTTCCATTCTCAGTCCTGAAGTTTGCTCCCTGGGAGGCCCCAAGAGAAAACTAAGTACTTCATCAGTCAAATCAAATGCCAAAAAATTTCCTTGGCCACACGATTCCAAATCCCTCTCAAACCTCTGCTCTTGATTTTCCTTCTGTCCCACTACATTCACATTTACTTCCAGAACACTACTGATTATTATCTTGGAAAACTGTTAAAATAATCAACTTCTTTCAACAGTGCATTCCTTGTCTCAATAATGTTCAAATCAAGCTGAAAGTATCTGCAAGCCTTACTTCAGCCTCAGCTTCAATCTTATCCTCTTTCACCATTTTCTCCACCATTCTCTCAGCTAGTGGCAAAAACATCGTCTTTGAGAGGTTTTCATCCTGTGCTGAAATAGACTAAGGAAGCGAAGAATTATTGTAACAGCTCATCAACTTTTTGTGTAGTCTCACCCATTGCTTTTTCAACATTAGAAGCGGGGGGGGGGGAAACCACCAAAACCAAAAAGGGTACTTCAATTCCACTGCCCCCCTCCCCAAACCACACATTCAGAGCTGCCATCTGCCACGTGCAGAGAGCAACTGCTCTGTGAAAAGGCAGCAATAAAACCAGTGATATACAGAAAGGCTCGCTCTAGATTACATTGTCCAGAGACTCAGCATCCAGGCACGCAATACCCATGGCAAATAACATGTAGCAAGAACACATTTGTGTTTTCCATGGCACAGTATTTTAGAGAACATGATTAATGCCCCCATGCTTATTTTTTGTTTGGCTGACACTCCGTGTGTTAGCAGATTCAGGCACTGATCACACATCTCAACTAACAGCAGCACAGCTGATCTGCCATCTATTCCTGCAGATTTTCTGCAGTCTTAAAGAGATACAAAATCCAGAGCTCTCATTTATGTCTTCCTAGAGCCTTTATAACCTAATTAGAGAGTTCCGACTGGGGAGCTGCAGATACTTGAGGTTTTATTCATTGGCTAACTAAAAAGACAGTAGGGTACAAGTCCAGAGGAGAGAATAATTCAAGTTGTATAAACGTGGTAAGGCAGCCCAGTCAGGCTGCATTATAAAGAACACTACAGCATTCATTTTGGACCACATCAGTAGTGCTACTTAAAGAGAGCTCAGTCCTTCTCCCAGCATCATACAGGAACAGTTCAAACGCATAATTTATTTAAAATAATCTCTAATATTTTCACTCAGAACATTTCTATATTTGCACTATACCTGCAGCAAAAGTCAGACTCATTTGCAACACTGTACACACCTGCATAATCAGGCTCATCACAGACCAAAAATAGTAAGGATTTTTGGGTACAATCTTATAAAGTGCCATTCCAGCCTGAAAAATATAAGACAAATTTTCATCATTCCCAAAACATATCTGTTTATAAGCTCTCATGACAGATAACACAAGCTTAGCAGCAATGAGGGCAGGAGACAACATAGAATTAGCGGCTAGATGGGAGGACTTGTGTCAACCCATGAGCCCTATAATCTCAACACACATTGCTAAAGAAGAAGAAAACAGAGGGTGAAAATGCTTTAAAGATAGATACTTTGTGTAGGTCTGACAAGGAACAGCAATGAGCATGTGCACGTATGATTGCCTAAACAGATGAGAGCTTTAATTAGAAGCGAGGAAGCAGAAGACTTACTCCTTAGGAGTGAGGGGGATATTTCCAGTGCTGATTTTCACTATTATGCTCAGTCAGTGCTAAAAGGCCCACCAAACGATGTGCCTCCCTAACGTAAGCAACTGCCCTTCAACTCTCACTTCATACATACACATACTCAGATATCTGAAACATGAGGTCACCTATATGTGCAAAGCAGTGGTTACGCAAAGGTCGAGATGAAAACTTGGCTGTATCAAAGCAGAGACAAAGTATCCAAGATTTTCTAGCCTAACATATAAATAGTTATTCGCACATTTCTCTCACAGATTTCCAGTGCCTGTATATAATGAAGGACAACACTTTTACCCGTACAAAATCTGAAATGAATCTGAAGAAACTATATATAATACAGTCTACTACCACAGATGGACTTTTGCGCCAATCTCCTGACTGCAGTCTCAGTTTGCATTTTCCAGTACTTTCAGCTGAAACACCCCAGAACACAGGATGCTGAGGTTTATTTTCACCCTCCAATCCGTCAGCATCCCTGCACTCTGTGCATCTCTAAGTCCTTAAGTTGAATGCACAGGCCAATCTGGAACATCCTACTCTCTGACAATGTCCGGATAACTTAAGTAGATACGTGTTTGTATGACATTTTAAACATACAAAAGGTCACATAGATGTTAAATATGGCTATCTGTGCAAGACTGGCATTTTGTCCACTCACGGTTGTAGACAGGAGTACAATTAACACACAGTCACATGTCTGAAGTTTAGATTGTCATACGAGGCTTGTAATTTCATGTACATTAATAACTTAGCCCCTATCTACAGCTTGAACTCAAACAGCATACAAGCTGGGCTACAATGGAGGATAACACTATTCTATATAGTTATATAGAATAACTATATTCTTTTAGTTATTTAAACCAAACTGGTACAAAAACTCAAGTCACCTTAACACAGGGGAACAGGAGTAAGTTTAGGACTGACTTACTTGACTATCTGTGCTTTTTTATACAGAAGAGTGAGCACGCATGCTTTGAAAACAATCTTCCATTTATAGGCATTCTCCAGGCACTTAATTTGGAAGGGATGAAAACAAAACTAACCAGCATGACACTGTTGTGCCAGCAGAGAAGTACAATGTACTTAAAAGAACTGCTTTTCAGTTTTTCTTCACTGAATTACAACTAATACAAGCCTAGTTATATGTTAGATTCCAGAGGTAAGACCACAGGCAAGATTACTCTACCAAAGATAACTGCAAACTAAGGAGTAAATCAAGTCTGAAAACATGGATCAGAAGATCTTGCTGGATCTTTTTCTATCTATTCCAGAACTCTTTTATAATACACTGCCTATATGTAGCCACCGTACTGTTCAAGACAAATTGATAAAAACCTCCCGAAATAACCAACATATTCTAGCACACCAGACAGGCACACAAAAGGCACAGGTGTCCTATCCCATGTAAGGAAAAGAAAGCATTTGACTTCAGATAACCCACCCCTATATACTGGTCTTTTAAGCCTTTCTGTAAAAACTAACATAGAGTATAACTTCTGTATTAACCCAGCTTAGCTTTCTGGAAGATTACTTACAATATGAAAAGGCATTAACAGTCACATATAGAGAAGAAGACAGCTTCAAATGTCCTGAACACAAATTGTTGATCGTACCTGTTGCATCTTTTTGTATTCTCCAACCCTGGCATAGGCCATGAAGAGATGAGAGTGATACTCTTCACTGTTGGGAACCTTCTTTACAGCTGCCTCATAAAGTTTAGTTACCAGTTCCGCTAAACCAAAACCAGATGCTTGAGTTAAGACAAATTTGAGCATAATTTTAAAGCACAGGTACCCAAAGATAGCATCAGATACTGAACAGTAATCTAATTACACTCGTCAACCACAGAAATGGTACTCTCTCCCCCAAGACCCCAAGTGCTACAAACATGAGGCAAAGGAAGAAAGTGCTTAAATAAACAACCAAACCAACCTCAAAAGAGAGGCTCAGAAGCGCTTAAGTCTTTTTCTTAAGAAAGTTTACCTATTTTGGAACATTAAACTGAAAGAAGATTTCTACTCCTGGCAGAATGACTGCTCCATGTCAATTACGTATCAAAACACAGAACATTTTCAGAGCCTAATATCAAATTAGTTGCTCTTATTGCAAAGTTACTTATGTTAGTCATATCCTGTTATTTTCCAGTTGCCTATTTTAGTAGTCTTAACAAGTAAAATACTTCACACCATACTTTTTAATAATGGGTCTATCATTAAATAATACATAATAAATCACTGAATACTTACAATATTATAATACGCAAAACTTTCTTACATTTTCATCCTTCCAGATTTCTTTCCTTACACGTACAATCTCAGCATAGTATTAGAAAACTAAATATAATTTGTTTCACATAGTTTACATATCCTCAACAAACATACATAAAGCACCTAATTACAATCTTCTTGTAGGACCAAAAATGGAAGTGCCTAACACCCACTATTTCCTTTCTGAGTTATAAACCTAGAAGTTAAAAACCTAAGCTTAACGCTTATGCAAGTTGTTTAGAATCACAGAAAGGTGTTTGATATTTTCAGGGGTTTGTTTATGTTGAAGTCACACATACACACAAAAAATTTTGTATTCTTCAAGAAATGATGCTTTAACTCCACATATACACATGCACACATATAGAAAGAAAGAAACTAGCAGTGCATAACCAACTGCTATATTGCAAACTGAAAACAAATATCCATTTCTACAGCAATTCAACAATAAATGTTGCTACCACCACCAAGAAGCACAAGAAGCTGCCAAAACCAACAATGGTTTAGAGGTGTAGATAAGCAGTATATAAGGTCTGGCTTCTTTCAGAAAAGCACATGCAATTTTACTCCATCGCTCATTCACAATTTAGTATTTTTAAAATACTGTATCACTACAAGGAACCGTACTGAAAAAGTTAACGCGGTCAAATTGAGAGGCCAGGATTTCCTTTCCGTTTGTCACACGGCTTCTCAAGGCCTGAACCCCTCGACTACTGTCTCAGAGCAGCAAGCACACTCCAAACCACAGACCATGCAATTTGTCATCTCTGCCACATATACTGACAACAAATCCCAGTAGCTTTCATTAAAAAAAAAGTGAACTCATAGGCTGATTGTGAGGGATGATTATTAGCATGCCATTCATTTAGGAACTGTGTACACAATAATGTTAATGACAGAAGCCTAAAACAAAGGTTCTTTGATTTATGGTGATCACCAGAGCCTTAAAGGCATATATAACAGGCATCATTTAAATTCTCTGAGTCTCTTAACAACACACCTATACACGAACCCTGGACTTTGCATGTTTCCCATGAACCTGTGGGTCACATACACTTCTGCAAGAACATAAATTATTTTTAAGAGAGGCAAAGGAAAAAGCTTACGTCTATGCATTTCCCGGTAAAGAATAGTTAGTGCTTGCAAGGAATTATCATCCGTGGGTTCAAGTGCTGCTACTTCTTGTGCCAGAGCATACGCTTCATCTTGCTTGCCAGTTCTCTGCAAGCCAATTGCCTTTAGAACCTATTGACAGAACACAGAGGCAGCTGTTAGAAACACAGCTGGCAGCTACCAGTGAAAAATCCTCTCATTCCTGGTGAGGAGAGGCTTTACCCAACCGCTTCATTACTTCTGCAGAACTCCAGGTTTTATTAAGCTTCTAATCCATACGGCTGTAGAGGAAAACTTCCAAATGCAAGCTGCATCAAATAGCGTCGCTTTGCATTTCTTACCAAACACGCAGGTTCTCCAAGGCATCAGCAGCCACACAGCTTTCCCCACCTGCAGACTGAAAACTGACCAGTCCTGCTAATTTTCATTTTTTTTCCTTTCAATAGCTGGTCAGAGAGAAGTGACATAAATGAGATTCAGGTCAATGATACTCACTTCAGCTTGGGAAGCTTTTAAAACGTAGAAGTGGTATGAACTGTAGAGGAAAATCCACAGGGAAATGAGAAAGGCAGAAAGACAGTCATACAATCAGAAGACCGAGAAACAGAACGCCTTCTCCTTCAACACAGGCACAGCAAGGAGGGCAGTGAACAAGAAGCAGAAGAGCAAATGCCTCCAAAATCACCTTGTTATGTTTTACTGAAGACTACACCTCCCAAGGAAATATTTTGGTCCAAACGTTAGGTATCCCAACCTAAGGTCTAAAAGAGGCATTTTTAAGGCACAGCCCATGTGCCAAGGTTGCTTGCGGTGGCTCCAACCGGGAGCTAGACAATTAGCCCAGGTATAACAAATTACACTCTTAGTCATTAGAGGCACCTCACCAAGAGGATCTGCACCAGTTTTCAGGCAAACACGATACTGTGTGAATTAGAACCGCCCGAGATGTTCCAGAGGGTTTGGAAAACACTGTCGTCTCTGGAAGATCACGGACACTGCTCGAAAGGCAAAGCAGAACGCTCCAAGTCTCAGAGCTATGCTCCCCAAACGAGGTCAGTGCACTGCAATCACACTTACCTTTGCACAGTGAAGATCCTTGTGTTTTTTGAGCAGTTTATCCGCTTGCTGGATTGCCATTTTATTATTGCCATTGTCAAGATAATCTGCATAAGAACAACATACATAGTGTTATACCAGAACACAAGACCACTCTGGAAAGCTATCTCTAATTTTACTGTCGAATATGTGCTGTTAGGCCAGCAGTACAAACCGTATTTTCCTTGTACAATTACTACTACGCGAAATGTTCAGGAAACATGTCATTTTGTAGATGAAGTATTCATCGCGCTGTACTAGTTTTAGTCATTCAAACAAACAAGCTTTTGTAATTACTCCACATAGATCATTACAGCAACAAAAGAGACATATAATAGAGTGGGTTCTGCAGCAACAGCTCTTTGCTAGCAATGGAGCTTGGGCTCTTTGCTTCAGTAAAAGTAGAAATTAATTTGGTATGCCTTTGGGAGACTTTCAATGACTTTTAACAGGCAGTAGGTTAGAAACTAAGCACTCACAATCTATCAAAGCATTAAGTGAGAAGACCTACTTGTCCACACGATCCATACTTCAGGCAGAGCAAATCTGTCCCCTAACTGAGTATATTACTATGCTTTCACCACACTAGTTTTAAAAACATAAAAGTGAAGCTCCCAGGAGGAGCTTCACTATTTCCGAGAGGGATATCCCACTATCCAGTAAAACTTCAGCAGTAGAAAAACCCTGTCTGAAGACCATTTTCTCCTTTTTTCAGCTCGGTATTGTGATCTTCAGCTTCACCTCCAGTGCATCATCATGTTATCGGACAATTCCAAACAAGCAATTTTAGATTAGAACATGACCCCTGTATATCCCTCAAAAAGTAATACTTACTAACCAAAACCTAGCAAAAAAGCTTGGCTGCACCTGACGAGCCGACAGGCAAGGGTCTGCTCACAACGTTCTGGCCTCTCCCCTACCAAACTGCAAACAGAGCTAATTTCAGTTAATTGGAATTGCATTACACATCTTTTTCTTGTCAAGACTGTAGTTCTCATTATGAGAGAGAACTCTTTTACCAAGTAGAGAGGTGACCTTTAGTAATTCCTTGCTATATAGCACAAAGTGTGCATCTGTACTAATGAGATTTATATTCGGCAGCTTTCACATTTGCTTCCATGGCCAAGTAAGTGCTGCAGATTTAAAGTAGAGCTAATTGGGCTCCTGAGACCACACAGACAAAACCTCAAACGAGGCAGCCTGCCCACACTAACCAAAACAAAATGTTGCTGCATAAAATATAGTTTGAAACTGTAAGACATGGGTTAGACGGCTGTTTTAACTTACAAAAACCTGTGCATCACTTTTAACACTAAAGCCTAGGCAGGGATTTCTCAGTGAGCAGGTTTCAAAACTGTGGAACAGAACATCCCGGTGATCTCTTCCTACACCAGCAGAGACTTCTTGATTTAATGATCTGCGTTGCGCAGTTCACTTAAGCACAAATTACCTGCCACGCTGCACTGCCTGTCTGGGATTGTTTAACTGTGCCGATAAGATCTGCGCTTTAGGTCTCCTAAAGTAAATCAAACAAACCACAAACCTCTCTAAACTGCAGCAGAATAAAAAGATGGTATTTTGCTAACAACAAGTAAGTTTCTTGGAGGTCAAAGTAGCTGGCAACTTCCAAAGGAATTCAAGCTAAAGGAAAATAAACTTGACGCCTGCATTAGCTGCAAGTCCGTAGGTGGAGATGTTTAGTGGCCGGAAATGCAACACGTGAACCTTCAGGTGAAGGGAGAACACATCGAGATGAAAGATAAACGTAGCTGTCAAGGAACCTGAGTAATCAAGACACATGGTGCAAACTGAAAAGCACTGTTTTAAGTCAAGAATCAGACTTTCAACCTCCTGCTGCACGTCTCCAGTTTCTGACTTTTGTGAAGTCGCATATTTACCTCTTTAAGGACATAAACTTTATCTCGAGTTTTGCAGCCCCAAAGCCTGAATTCAAATCTTACACTGCAGCTGATCCTTTCTAGAACCAGCAGAAAGCTATTTTAAAGTTGTCTCCCCAATAGCTGTACTCTCTGAAATTAATACAGTGAAATACACCTCAACATCACCTGCTTTAATATTGGTTGAATTTACTATGCTTTCTCTTTTAAGAACATTGAAGATGTTACACAGGTTATAACACAAACGATTGCACATTAATAAAAACGGCAATCACATTGTGCACAGAAAACGAAGGAAAAAACTTTAAATTGTTACATTAAGACAAACTGCACAGCTGTGCTCATAATTATGCAATGAACTTTAAGACAGCCGTGTGTTTACCCATTTACTCAAACAAAACTATCTTCCTCCGTTTCACTGGAACCCATCACAGATGCAAGTCGGTACCGCACCATCCTCACTGCCTGAGCAGCAGGGGACATTCCCAAAGCAAGTTCATCCCCAAATGAGGGCAGCACTCCGCGTTTGTAGGGACAGATTTTTTTCCAGTGTTGAAAAGGTTGAGAACACTTTCTGAAACCTCTATTCAATCTTCAAATTTAGGGAAGAAACGGTACCGTAGCCTGGGGAAGTGTCTTTCTTTTCTTTTTCTCTCTGTTTGCATAAACAGAGGCAAGCTTGTCTACAGCCCCTTAAGCAATCCCAATTGCACACAATACCCTTGGAAACATTTGGGGACAGCTTAATACAAGAGGTTTCTTAACAAGACCTTCTCCTTCTAACTACTTCGCTATTGTCTCCCAATTAATTTTCGTAACTAGTCTGTGCCACAACACTTCAACATACAACTTGAAGGCGTCCGTGAATGCTCTTGTCCCTTTTACGAATTAATCCATTTCTAACTTCTCGGCAGCGGCAAACAAACGCCGACCAAAGTTACCCTGACTGAGAGAAAGAGGCACCGAGACCAGGGCCACCCGCGGAGAG